GTGCACTTCGACCAATTTCCACCCCGATTTCATTAGAACGTCAGAAAACCCTTCAAGGGTACGCTCAATTCCACCGAGCAAAGTGTGCATCTGAGGAATTAATTTGGAATGAAAAACTGGTGGGTGGTCGGTCACTCACAGTCATATCGTAAAGATACAGGTCGGCCGTTGCGACTCCCCAGTTAGGGAGCAATGGAGGTTCTGCGGTCGGGCGGGCGGCACCCGGGATCTTTTGCGTGCTAGAGGCCTCGAGGCTCTCGTTGGATGCGAAAGGCACGATTTTCTCGACGATGACTAGTTTAGTGGTAGACAACGCAGCAGCACGCAGATGCCCGAGGATGGTTGTGGCCTGAACATCTGGCCAGTCGTGGAGGATGTATCTCATTAGAAAAACGGCGGCATCTTTCACGGGTTGAGGCGTAAAGAAGTCGTGCACTATCTTCTATTTCAGAATAGAAAGAAAGTTCAACTTGAAATAGACGAACCGTTAAATTCAACCATTTGTGCATCGAGATGTGCGGGGAACTGCTCCCTCCAGAACTGCATTCCAAGTTAATTTCTAGTGAGCATAATCGGAGTGTGATATTATCTACCTCTTTCGAGAGCTCGATTGCGGGGCCAAGATCCTGGTTCACCACACGCAGTTGAGGATATCGTTTTGCAATCGACAAGGATAAATATCCAATGCCTCCGCCAACATCAACAATGGACCCTCCGCTTGGCAGCTGGTTCCAATCAAAGCCTATTCACCCAATATGAACACTGATGTTATTAATTAGAGAGACTGACGCGCCTTGGAATATCAATTCCGTGGGCTCTGTGGCTGCAGTGCCCTGCATCGCAACGGCGAATCGGCTAACGTTGTAGGAATTTTCCGGTTTTTGCATCCAGGTGAATAGCGGCTCCTCTGTTTTATATGCCAGGTTGAAAGGGATCTTGCCATTTGGATTTATTAGTGAGTCTGCGAGGTATACCCCGCTCTTCCCGCCGATGTCTGCCCTAATCAAATATGAAGGCAGCCCATATCGTTGGATATGCCGACCTACGTGTGTTCCGAGAGTGCTGCGATTCCGGAGGAGCCAACTAACCTGTCGGCTCGGCTTCGGGGAATTTTTCATTATTTTTCAGCTAATCATTGAGGTCGACTTACTTTGAGAACAGGACGCTGGATGGCTTCCCTTTGTCCAGAGTAGAAGATACTCTGTTGTTTGCAAAGACCCCTGGGGATACTTCCCGGAAAATTTGGTGTGTTGCAAGGAGTCGAAGGATGCGCGCTTCAGGTTCAACAGGATTAGTTCAAGGTGAGTTATTATTATTATTAGACCCTCACCCATTACATTCGGGTCCACACGGGCTGGTGCCGCTATGTCAGTTGCATCAGCACCCTAGGAGAAGGACTTAGGAATAAACAAGACAAAAGTGAGCATAAAAATTTAATCTACCTTCGGTCCTGCCTCACGCAAAATCTCAACAACATTAAGCTCGGACGCCGCAAGGAGACAGGATGAGAGGTGGAACTGTGCCCCATAAACAACCAAAATTTGAAGAATAAACCCGAGACTCACCGCATGGGAGGTATTTACTGCTACTCTCCTCGGATCGCACACAGTGGCACTGATCTGCGCTGCGGCAGCAATGAGGTTTTTGGTTGCCGCCGAAACTTCAGGATCCCGGCTCAGAGCCTCGGACGAATCCTCTGGGTTGAATGGCTCGTCCAGCGAAGGGAGCGGCATGCCTGCTTGTGCATACACATGTTCGATGGTGTCGACGGACTCCGTGATTATGCTGGCAAGACGTCGGAGAGTGGAGATGGGTTGCATATTAGTGAGAACGGGAGAGATTGAGCACAGAAGTGCTTCTCATCTATATCCTCGCCGGTGATTATAAAACACCATCCGACGAATCGGCATCTCTCCGACGAACGCCGATTAGACCATTTGAACAGATTTGAACGTGATGTGCTAACTGCGCGCAAAGGCCGATCAGACCTCAATTGAAACAAAAATAAATGGGGCGCCAATGGGGCGCTCAATGTCAGTATGGTGATGGATATGATATACTATTCTCGTCAGTTGGATGATGCCTGCCTGCCTGCCTCGGCTTTCTTCTAAGGCTTACTTTGGGCACTCTGAGGCCCTCTGGGCTACTCTGGGGACCTACTCTGCGCCACGCTGGGGCCGTCAGTCTCCTAATAAGGTCTTTCTTTCTCTACAGGTTTCGCCAGAGCGCCACTCTGGATTACCCTGGTCTGCATGGACATCTGCCAGATTCCGTTGACAAGACACCGACACAATCTTGCGACGCAGTTTTGCCACAACTTGGTATCCAAAGATCGGCCTTCAGCGGGCTGCGTATCTCATCTTAATTTGATTCCGTGCAAGCCTTCCATTTTTGTGTCCTGTCTTGCGTCGGGATGGAGATTTCCACGTAAACTTTCTTAGGTGTACATTATCCGGCTACCTGAGTCCATCCGGGGTGAGCGGTAGGTAAGTAGCATTACACGGCGGAGTTATCCTGGTCCGACAACGATCTCCGCTGTATGTATGTCATACTCCATTTATATATAAGTATATCCATTACGGTTTTCCAATGCGCTGTAACTTATCATACTAAGGCTGTGGCGCAACACCAGGAGCTCAGTACCCCGAGTTGTGCAAATTCGGACATCACGGGGAACCGCTCTTCACAGGATTTAAAGCACTCCAAGTCGGCCATCTGTCTGACACCGGATTGTCTGTCTCGCTGAACTGATTTTGACACAATGGCCAGCCCACCTACCCTAGCTTCGACGAATGGCATCTGGTTGATAGCGGCGTTTTTGCAAGCCATGTATGTCCTGTCGCCTCAGTACCGTGACGCTCCATGTCTAACTGGAGCACACAGGTTACAGGGAATGGGGCTTCTACAAGGCTTTCTGTAAGTCGTTAGCAACGACCGGTGAATGGCGTGTAACTTGATTGCCAAAGTTATTTTATGTGGTATCCCAAAGATACTTGGAGCATTAAAGGAACCGTAGGTGTTGCTGCGTTTCTTTGAACGATGGGCTGATAACCACTACTAGGTTATTGCGATGCTGTTTGTCGCATTTGGTTCGCATTTCCGGGCGGGAGCTGATTTTTGTTTTGCCAGTTTGATCGAGTCCGTTCAGATGGGGGCTGCAATCAGCAACGTATATGTCTGGTTCGTTGAAGGGTTCGGGAATTTCGACAACCTGAACACCATCCATTGGTACGGTCACAATACGCTCTATACATTTCTCACCACTCACCGTTCATACTCCAGGCAAGATACGCTGCAATTGACTGCCCTGGTAATCTGCTCAACATAGAAGACACGCAAAAAATGACCGTAATACTCCAGTATCTGTCGACCTTCGTGGCCCAAGCGCACTTTGCGAGGACGATTTACCATCGTGAGTTTTCGTCGTCGGTCTTTAGCTGTGACTGATGCATCGATGTCAGTGCACAGACAAAATATAGTGATCCCGGTACTGGTCCTCCTGTTATCCATGGCTGCATTGGGTAAATAAAAGTCCATTTCCTTGTCCGATGCGCGCTGATCTGAGCCATATTTTCCTTCCAGCATCTGGGATGGGTGAGCATTTATTTACATCGCTAGCCCGAGCTGACCTGTTGGCAGTCCAAGTGGGCCTTATGTTCGTCACATCATCCGCATAGTGATTTTACTCACTAAACTTGCTCTCAAGTGTTGGAATCAAAAAATACAGTGACCTGGGTAAAACAAGTGTATGTTTCCTCATTCCGTCCAGTTCCCTTGTTCATAGTCGCGTCCTAGGCAAGCAGCAATCTTCAAGCCGCGTTTTCGCTGGCCGCCGATATGTTGATCACGGTCGGACTCTGCTGGCGATTGTATAATAGCCGCACCGGAATTCAATCGTATGTTGCTGTTCACACACCCTGGAAGGAACGGGCGGCTGAAAGGGAAATCCCCAGAACAAACCGCATATTAAATTTTCTAGTGATTACCGCGATAAACCGCGGGGTATTCACGATGCTCTTTGCGGTGCTGAACGTGGTCTTGGTATGTGATGTGTTCCTAAATACCTCTTGGCTCACGTATACTCTCTTAGTTCCTCAGCCAGCCAGGAACATTCTACTTCATGCTCGCGCTCCTCCTCAGTGACAAATGTGCGCCGTTTAAATTCTCCATTTATTTCGACCTGTTGAACCCACTGTTAATCGCGCAGTCTATATGAATAGCATGCTTGCGGTGTAAGCCGCATCCATCTACGTCACATCCTCACTTACGTATTTATTTCAGGCTCAATACACGCCAGCACGCCTTTAAGATGCACGGGAACACTGTCGTGGAGTCAATTTCTATGCCCTCTTTCTCGGCCAAAAACAACACCGTGCGGAACGGCATTACGGTTTCAACTACACTTGAAACGAGCCGTGACAATCTGCAAGTCTAAGTCATCTTATATAAACACACTCGTCTAATGGTTCTGTCCCTAGCTCCGACTCTGATGCCGACGGGAAATTCTCGGTTTGAGAGGATGGGACGCCGATAATATGACTGCTGGTTTCAGTAGATTTAATACGAAGAAGAGGTGTTATCACGGGGTAATTATATACCAAACTAGTAGGCTAAGAACAGAAGTATGATACCCAATCACGGCACTGTGTCGTTAGTTATTTAATGTAATTAAGTATGCTACTTAGTGTGGGTGAGTGCACCAGTCAAAGCAATTTTGGATTCTGTCAGACAATAGGTAAAGGCAGTGGATATCAAGCGAAGGTATGAACCCAGTTTATTGTCATTGAGTTGTTCATTTTTACTGGAACGGCTTGCAAAGAGCTACGGAAATCTGCCACTGGTATACGATGGTCCATTCTGTAGTTTCGAAGGCAGATCATGCACGAGGGATTTGACTACGGTAGGATGGCCACGGTGTAAGCGTTAATCTAGATTCGCAGCGCGTACTATGGAGGGATAGCAGATTGAAGCTGGTCAAAAAATGCTCTTGAGACAGCCCATACCATCGCTAGGGATCGAACCCACGCCTCCCTCCCTTAAAAATCCCGTCCTTGCCCGCCAAAGAGTGAGGGAAATCTACCACTGATATACGATGGCTAGTTTCCTACCTTTTGAGGTGTGGGTGACATTAAAGGATTGATGCAAGAGTGCATCCATCCCGGACAGAGCTTCGCAGCGTGTGATGCTTAGCTAGCGCTGATCTGACTTGAGAGAAAAACACCATCGGTAGGAATCGAACCTACGCCTCCCTCCAAATTCTAAACCACCGCTTCAAACAATGAGGGAAATCTGCCACTGATATACGATGGTTCATTTCCTACCTTCAGGCTGTGTTATATGAGGGATTTGGAGAAGGAGATCTACGAAAAAGGGAGGTGAGATGGCAGTGTCACTGTTGAACAGATTCTGTAACATTAAATAAACCAAAAAAAAATCAGCGACCTGGAGGGGAAAAAAATGCATGCCGTCCAATACCATCGGTAGGTATTAGTCTGCTGTACTATGTATGGAACGGGTGAGAAATCTGCCACTGACATACGACGATTGGTTTATTACCTGGTGAACTTCATCACATGCCGGAGAATTTTGAGTTCAAGGAGATGGTCGGCCAGTAGGAACTTGAGTTTGTCGTGGACTTATGACCACTCGTCTAGCCAATGTCAATTAGGAAATCGGTGGCGCGTTCAAGACAACCTATAATCATGGGTGTGAGCGAGGAAAGGAACCGTGCTTACTGTCATTGCGCCCCTTTTTTCCCGGGCCGAACACCGAGCGCTGCTCCAGCTCATAAGATACGTCACCACGGTTGAATTTCTCCTGTCTGAGTTTTGCTCCGCTCCTTCCCCTTTACCTCCACTTGCCTTTCACCTTCATCCGTCTCTCCCAACTGCTCTGCCCACAACAAGATCAATGGCGACCACAACCCCAAATCTCGCCCCACTCGTTCCGTCGACCCCCTCGACCGAGTGGGCTGCGCGCATGCAAGACATCCTGTTCAGCGCGAATGGTACTGGCGTGGAGACTCCCGGCCCCGCCATCCCAGGCGCTTTCCCCATCCAACCCGCGTCCTCGCCTCACAGCAACGGCGATACCACGATTCTCGGCGCCGCAAAAGCGTTGCTCCCCGCCGAAGACACCGTCCAGCGCGCGCTGACGCACGCGGGCCAGGCCGCGAAGGCATTCCTCCCACCGGGCGTCGCGGGGTACTTCGCTGGTGCGTTTTCCTCCTAAGCGAGCTCCGCGAATCGCGATAACTAACTGCGCGATATCCGCTAGCTCCACCCGAAAGCGCCACTGACAGGGGGGCCGGATCGACAACTGCATCCAGCGACTCCACCGCGGACATTACGGCGGACATGGACCCCGCCGTACACGCCCAGCCTCTGCCAACCTCAGAGACCAATGTCAGAACGACCGCCAACGCGGGGGACTCCGCACCCGTTCTCGGCGACACACGCCCGCCCCTCTCTGCATCGTCTTCCGCGCTCTCCGGTTCCTCATCCGTGCTCTCCGCCGCGTCCACTATATTCGCCACAAGCGCATCCCCGCAAGACGAAGGCTACGCCCCGCTGGCATCCACCGCGTCGCTCGTCAAAGGGAATGAGTCGCATCTCGAGGTGCACGACGCCGTCCCACCTTTCACGCCCATCCCTCCCATCGCCCTCACCGATGCCAACGCCGCATACTTCCCTACCGCGGAGATCCCCGTTGGCAGCGCCGCAAACGCACCCCCGAGCGTTCCCGACCATACAAGCGCCAGCCTACGTGCGCAGGGGCCCTCGGCGGACGCGAGCACCCGGACGCTCACCAGCGCGGATTCGGTTATCCCGGCTTCCGCTAAGGAGGGCGCGAGCTCGAACAAAGGCGATGTGAAGGGCGCGCATACCTCGAATTCCGAAGGTGCGGGGGATTTGAACGCGAGTGATATCTCCGTGCCCCTGCATACCGACGCCCACGCCCACGCGAATGGACACACGGAGGCAGAGGACGCGCAGCGCGCGGTGTTCTCTGATCCCGGATTTGGCGTGCTCGGACGGGACGGGGATGCCAATCCTAGTTCGGGCACGGAGAAGGGTGCGGGTGCAGGGTTTGAGGCCGCGGATTCGAATGCGGATACGGGCGTTGCGATCTTCACGGCGTACGGAGTGCACGCCCCCCTGCAGGTACCGCCGTCCGCGGATGACGGGGACTTGGACGACGACGAAGTGAGCCCGGGCAGTGACGGTAAGAAGGAGAAGGAAAAGGGTCGGGGCTCACGCTTTGTTGCGAAGTTGAAGGAGAAGATGCATGTTGGGTGAGGCGGTGTCGGAGCTAGATTTATGTTGGTCGAGGTGGTGTCGGAGCTAGTGTTGGATTGGTCAGAGGGTGATTCGCGTGGGAGTCATGTACTTGTACCGTTCGTGTCGTGAAAATTGAGAGCGTTGGATTTGGCTTTCGGATGCACGGATGTTAGAATGCGAATGTTCGACGCCACTATCTGGGTTGCGCAGTCGATCCGACGAAACAGTGAAACCGACGAAAGAATCCGGCTGCACTGTGCCGCCATTCGATTCCTCGACAGGTCCTATTCCTCGCACTGCCCACTGGCGCAGGCAAAATTACCAAGATTAGAGAGGTGAGACGAAAATGAGATATATTTATTTGCCCACATACCTTCTGAAGTTACGTTCTAAAAATGAAAATCCTCGTTCGCGATCTTGTCGAGGTACGCTCGAAGTGGTGCATACGAGTTCTGACATCCGTTCAGCGTCTTTTTTTTTTTCATATCGTGCGGGAATGGTGAGAATGGTCTGGACGAGCCAGGGATGAGCGAGGATCGAAACTTTCGAGCAAGAACGACAGCAAGAGCAGGAGTCTCCTAGGAAATGGATGCAATGGCTAAGCAAGACAGGCGGAAGAACGATAATGTCAGTGATTGGTCGCATCATCCGAGCTCATGCTTCGGGACGGCCCGAGAGGAGATCGGCATAACCCATGATATGTCCGATATTCGTGCGGACGGATTTGGCCCCAAAATGGGGGAGTCCATTCGGGAATTGGAGAAACCGGCAGATCGAGCGACCGGCGGTTGACCGGCGATCGCTTACATCAGCGAGCGGAAGTTGAAAGATAGGAGTTGTCTTGGAAAAGTCGTCGGCGGGTGGTATTGTAGCTTGAAAACTACTGTAATATATTCTGGTTTGGTTCACGTTGATATATAAAAATTACCTCTCGCCTCATCATTTGACTTTGTTTCCTGAATGTCTGAAGTTGATCCAGGTGGCTCATTTGGAACACTTACTGAGCCACTACTTCATCAGTGATTCAAACCAAGAAATTTTATGTCTGCACTCTCTTCTATCTGGAGTACGCAGGGGTTCGGGGTTTGAATTGCCCACTGGGACCGCTGCCGGACAGCCGGGACTTCGTCTACCACTTACAAGTATACGGCAGGAAATTGTTGCTATGGTTCGGGAAGGGTGAATGATGTTTAGTGCTAGGAATGACTGCAACAGGACGCGATGACCCGAGGAAGGGCGAGGGGAAGGAACGGCAGCGGTGACTTTTATTCAAACCCCGACAGGTGCCGAAATTGATGCCGCCGGTCATTTTGCCGGTTTCGCGGAATCCCGAATTTCCTGAAATGGGGTCAATGTCTGATACGAATGCGGACGGTTTGAGCTGCAGTGGAGCACCATGTCCGATCCAAACCGCTGACGGAACTGGCCTGTCGAGCATGATGTCCGATCTACACAAGGACAGTTTTGTCCAAGTGTTGAAGCTTTTGAAGTCCCCAATCGTCCTTCTCATCTTATTTGTGGCTTGAAACCACGTTCTGATCAAAGCTCTTTGAACTCCATCTCAAATTGACCGTTCTTTTCCGCTTTTATTCTATTCCAAGGCTCATATTCAACATGAACTTGCTTCTCGAATATTCCTGGATCGTCCTATTCTTTTTTGGACTCGGAGGGAGGCTGGAACAAGGGTAGAATACGTTCACCATACTTACCTCCAAACGTTTGATCCTAAAAGATGTGTTTTCTAGTATCTTATTAGTACAGAAGTCGCCTTGCTAGAGGTCCGATCGCTTATGCTGACGGCAATGTGTCGCTCAGAGGTCCGTTCACTTGTGCGGACGGAAAGAGCCCAAATTCGTGCTACCTGATATCAATGCGTACGGATTTGGAGGGAAAATGGATGTACGGAAACGGCAAAAATCGGCAAAAATAGATCGGACATCTAACGACATATGCCGATCTCCTGGCCCGAGATGAAGATTTTCAATCTCCGCTTTGATCTCTGATTCCTCGTGCAAAGTCTTCAATTTTTTCCAGCTCTTTCTTTCCGGCCTCAGCGGAGCATCATCCTGGCCTCTCCAAGAAGTTCCGGCATACACGCTCACCTTACCGGCCGAACTTCAGGAAAGTTTCCTACGTCCAGTGGTAAAACTTCAAAAATAGCGTCTTCTTTAAATGTAAGGAATATCTGTTCTACATGTCTCTCAAACTGAGATGGTACTGCCCATCGTACTATCCCTATTCAACCGCTGCCGTCGCCAGCGGATCTGCGTGACGTTTGCCTGGGGCCGCTCCCGTCGCCCGCGAATCGCCGCAACGGCATAAATCCCCTTATAGATGCATCGAAATTTTAATGTATCTCCGACAACCTAAATTGCAAGCCAGGTGCATACGAGTCAGAACGGATTAACCATAGCACATTCCGCCCTCTCTCACCGCTCCTCCGAAATGCAGAATTCGAGCTCAATACCGACGCGGAAAGGCAAGGCAGGTCAAATTCTGGAATACGCGACGAGTGTGGCAGCCACTATGCAAAGTCTCGCCCAGGTCTCCGGTGTCCCATTTCTGCAGACCGCCGTTAGTGAAAGTGTGCTTGTGTTAAACGAAATACAGGTCGGTGCTCCTTAGTTCTGAATTTGCAGACTAAGCTGAATTTGTGTGATTCAGATGACGAAAATGAATCAAGGAAGGCTCCTGCCCATCGTGGAGCTCATACACCAACTTCTCTCCACTATTATCCACCTATGCGTCACCAATGAAGGTGTCCTCCCCCTTAAGCTACTAGGAAATATCGGGGACTTCGCTCAGTATGTCCAGATT